TATATTTAGCAGAAATCTTGCTAAATTCACCACACATTTACTGTTATGATATGAGTCAGGGTTAGATTTTAGAACTGACTGTATTACAAAAACAAGTGTGTGTGCACGGATGTATTTCTAGCATGAAATGAAAAACCAAAATTGTTTCAGAAAATGTTCTGAATATTTTTAACCTTTCCTGAACAATGAACAACAAATATAATTCTGTAATGGTATAATACCTTTTAATTTTTTATTATTTTGTCACTTTTTTCTAGGGTATTCTTCAGAGGTATTCTGAGAGCCCTCATCCCTATGTACAAAAGAGCCACTGAACTCCTTCAGAAGGTGTCACAATCCAAGCCCATGGCCTACCTTACTGACTTCACCCTGCCTGGAGACCTGAAAGACTTCCTGTGCCTCGCACACCCTGATCTACTGATGGAAGAAGGCACCCGAGACCTTTTAGAGGTCCCAAGGCCAAGAAAGTCCAAATTATCTGTCCTTTGCAGGTTGTTTGGGGACAGAGAGCAAGAAGAGAATAATGGAGAAGAGAAGAGAGAGATGATGCCAATATTATCTGCTGGCTATGATGAAGGGTCTAGTCTGGATCTGGGAGCTGCAGTTTTACAACAACAGCCAGGTTTTGTTACCAATGATGATTTTGCGTATTTTATATTACATTGATATTACTGTATATGTATATAGATTCTATGTAATCACATTTGCTTGCTATTCTTCAGATGTCTTACCCTATGGAATGGAGATGAAGGTTGTGCTTCCACAATATTGTAAAACCACCAAACAGGTATTTGATCTCGATTTGTATGTTGCCATATGACAGCTCAAACTGAAGTATATTTTTGAGAACAATAATATGCTCACATATTCATAGAAATGCAGTCATCATGGGTTAATGTTGATCGATGCATTATTCCCACAGATGAAATCAGACTTCTCGAGGCAAATTGCTGTCTGTCAGAAGAGGAAGTTCTTGGAGTCGTTGGAGAAGGTGTTCACGTTCAGAAACATGGCTGCCCATCTGAAGGAAGTGATGCTCTGGTGCCGGAGCTGTAAGTTTCATCGAGAGCGTAAGCACCTGGCCTTCTTGCACCTGAAGTGTCTGAGGATGGAAAGTCTGGAAGCTGAAGGTGTCCGGTACATAAAAATAGTTTAAATGAAATATGTATTTATGAGTCTTTCTTAGCTGGTGTCTAATTATGTTTATTAATATTATTATTATTCAGGGTGGAGAAGAGTTTGAAGAAGTTTAAGTTAGAATTTCGAAAGGCATTGATGCTTCCAAAGACTCTCCCACCACAACGTTCCTGTTCCTTCACTGCACTTTGGAGAACTCGATGGCACCTCAGAACCTTCAGGGCATGCAACAGAACTATCAGATCTAGATCTGCATTTACCAGGATGTGCTCTAGAACAGATAAAAACTTGTCTGTGTCATTGAAACATGTGAGGAACTGCAGCCAACCACAACCATTCCCCAAAAAAGAAGTGTTAAGAAACAATATGGCACCTGGAGCCAAGGAAGAAAGAATGGACTCACCGACTGTCTTGCGGAAACCAAATATCCAGAAGAATGATATTGATGATATTTTTGAATTCTTTGGATTTTAAGTTGTTCATTATGTAGGTTGAATGCATGAATGTTATAATGCCTAAAACCTAGGTACAAAAGTAACCTCTGATCACTGTGAATTATTATATATCTTTTTTTTTTTTAAGAAATTGTTTCCTAAAAATTGTTTTGTGTAATTTTATATAATTTTGTCTGCACAATTTAAATTTTCTACAGAGATTATGTGTGGCAAATGTTCTTTTCCATGGAATGTGGAGATCCAGAGAAGCAAAGTGAGAAAATAAACCTGTAAGCAAGTTTGTGATCTGATCTTGTCAAGTACTTATAATCAGATGATTGGATGCATGAACCTTTCATAGACCCAAAGAAAATAGATGTAAAATAGGATCAAAAAAATAATAAATACACATTTTCTATATTGACTTTTGACATTTTATCATTTAGCTGAAGCTTTTATCCAAAGCGACTTACAATTGCTACAGATGTCAGAGGTCGCATGCCTCCGGAACAATTAGGGGTTAAGTGTCTTGTTCAGGGACACATTGGTGTCTGACAGTGAATTCGAACTCGGGTCTCACACACCAAAGGCATGTGTCTTATTCACTGCGCCGTCACCACCTTATTAATACGTATTTATATGTTTATTACAATGTGTGTCCAACTCGGGTCTCACACGCCAAAGGCATGCGTCTTATCCACTGCGCCGTCACCACCTTATTTATATGTATTTATATGTTTATTATAATGTATGTATACACTTGTAACAGTCTGGTAAATTACACTTATACATTAAAGTGTTATTATACATTATTATTTTAACATTATTTTTTGTAAAAGTAGTAAATCTTTTTGAAAAGTAGCAATTCTTTTTGAAAAAAGTAACGATTCATTTTTATAAAGTAGCGATTAATTTTTGAAACAGTAGCGATTCTACAGTGTTATTAATTTTTATAAAGTAGTGATTAATTTTTGAAACAGTAGCGATTCTACAGTGTTATTATTCATTTGTTACAATATTATTATATATGTTACTTTTTTAAGATTATTATTTTTGAAAAAAAAAAACAACAATATACATTTATAATATTATGATCTTTATTATTGTTATATAAATTATCTGTAATGGAGTGAACACAACGAGGTACAGATGGTTAGGGTAAGGCTCAGCATCTCACCATCTTTTTTCATCCAACAGTACGTATAATATTTTGTATTTATAAATGCATTTTATTTGTGTTGTAGTACCCATGCAATAATCTGTGGATTGACTTCCTCCAGTACTGATTCTTCTGTTCTGCCACTTACTTTGAGTCCATGGTTAGCATCCTTGACCCAGTGAACAGCAGCAGGGGTTTTCATGAGGTGTCTAACAATTTCTAGAAGTCTCTGAAAAGCAAACAAATTATAAGTTTTGTTTTTGAAGAAGAATGTGATAGATTATGTACAATCAAAGTTTAAAAACTTCAAGTTAAAGGGATAGTTTACCCAAAAATGTATTATGAAAAATAAATTTAATTTATTCACCCTCATATTTCAAACCTGTATGACATTCTTTCTTCCATTAAACAAAAAGATATTTTAAAGAATGCTGAAAACCAAAAGGCATTGGTGACCATTAACAAAAAATTATTTTTTGTTCACACAATGAAAACATTATTTTGTGCTCTATAGACCTTATGTAGCCCCGCCCCTTTTCAGCGTTTGCGCTTGTTGTCTTTTGACTTCTGGTCTGTATTTTCACAGCGATCTTGCATAGGTATGAATGAACTGCTCATAAAAAAAAAAAAAATCTGCTGTAAAATGCTTATGATAAACATTACAATGCTCATGATACCTTTTGTTAACTCTACAATAAGTAAATCCACTTCACCAGCTAATTACTCCTTGACCGTGATGCCATTGAAATATACAGAGCGACCGCAAAAACGGAAGTTCAAAGACAATATACTAAATATGACGGCGCCCACGTTTCTCTGGTGCATAAGGTCTATAGAAATGCCCTACAAGTTTGGAACAAAGTGAGGGTGAGAAAATTATTAAATATTTCTTATTTTTGGGTGAACTTAAAGGTTCAACAGGAAGAACTTTAATTTAAGCCCAAGAATCAATGGAAAACATCACATCCATGTTCACCTTTTCACACAAGTTATCTGTAGTGCCGGAAACAAACAGCACAGAAGTTTGTGACAGCGCAAGCAGGCCTCTACTCCGCTCAACATATGTTAGTGGTTTTCCTGGTAGATGAAGAGGGAATGACAAACACAGAACACCCTGGACTGCATCCTTCTGTCTCTGCATACGTTCACAAACAGCAACAGCTGTACGAGCACCCATAGAGCGCCCTGGAAACAAATAGACAAAGAGAATTTATTAGACATAAAAATGCATGTATTTCCAAGAAGTACAGAAAAGCCTCTAAAAACAAACAAACAAAAAATCAGTTCCTCATTCAAAAATAGAACACTTTAGATTATTCAAACAAACAAATTCATATCTCACAGAAAATCTAGTAGACTTTATAAGGCTTGTCAAAAATACCATTAGAGAGTGTTTGAGAAAAAAAAAAGAGTGAGTCCTACCTCCCAAGAAAATTCTGTTTGGTGCAAATCTCTCATGGCTCTTTAAGTAATTCTGGTAGACAGCACAATTGCAAGTATTATTTATGCAATATTAGTAATATTTTTAACAATTTTCTTCTCATGTATTGCTATTATTAAATAGCAATACGTTTATGTAATAATACGTTTGTATAGTTTTGTTTTATGATTCAAAACAATACAATAATAAAATGTGGTTGCAATGTAAACATTTCATGTGCACGGTGGTGCATATAATATTTTTGAAAACAGGTTCTTACCACAACGGTGAGATAAGCTCTGAATCTGTACATGAAGTTCACCGCCCTGCAGGTGAACCGCAGACACAGGACTCCTGAACGTGCGAGAGCGTGCGCGAGGCTCTCCAGCTGTCTGACGTGCATGTCTCCACCCGCGCCGTGCGTCAACACCACAGCGGTGCATTCCGCGCCGAAGTCAGCAGGGACCGTGAACACGCATTCCAACTCTTTCTGCTCGAACGGGATGCTCGCACTCTCCTGTAATATACCGCTGATTAAAATCTCTCAAAAAGTGTCAAAAATGAAGCTCTCATAAATACATTCTTAGCTTGCCATACTGCAAGAAAACAAGCACTCATTTTCCAATTTGTTTAATGAAAGGTGTTACTAAGTAGGATTCGACGTTTTTTTAAATAAAGAAAATACCTCTGAAAACTCCATTAAGGGGTTATTGTTGCATCAAAGAGTGTAAAAGTCCAAAGTAGGAAGGAACTAGCTCAGGTCTCCAAAATTCCCGGGTAGAATTTTCTCACAGACTCACACGTGGGTGAGGATCAAATGAATCACGTTGTTAACAGCGCCACCTAAAGTAAAGGGGTTATTCACACACATGGAGCACACTAAAAATATATGAATGTCATCCTTTATTATTTTACGGAAACACTTCGCAAACAAAGCCTTTAAAAAAAAAAGAAGAAGCGTGTTTTGTTCTTAATGTTAGATAGGAACTTGAGTAAAAAATGTAAAACACATCCTGGACTTAAGTAAAAATTTCTCAAGATAGATTTAAGACAGTTTATATAGGCATAGGCCTTTAAAAAAGTAAAGAACATTTCTTATTTATTCTAATTATTTTGTTATAGTTAATTATTCCGAATTAATAACATGATTACTCTGGTCCAATCTTGGTGGAACATGATGTCTCTATTGAGTATTGCAGTTATTTTATTAAAATTTACTCTGATTTTAAAGCAATAAGCAAGCCCTTCCATCAATCGTTCTAAACAAAAATGGTCCTAATATATAATTAATATAAACCAGACCAGCAAGAGTGTAGAAATAGAAAGATTTAATAAAAAACAAAAACAAAAAAAAAACAAACAAAAAAACAACAACATTCAGTTAAGGCATTGCAGTCACAAGACACTTGACGCACCAAGTCTGTGGCCTTAAACATGTTCTGGTGCAAATCCATCTAAATTTGATGGCCGCTGTTACATGATGAAACATGAGGTATCACAGCTCATCTCTGACCTACAGTATACAAAAACAAAAAAACAAAAAACAATTGGAAATGTTTGATATGATCCAGGACTAATGCATTGCAGACTTAAAGAATTCATATAAACATTTTATCAGAGTAATTTGCTGATCAATCCAAGTCATAAACGTGTATTGCCCTCATAAATTCAGTTTTTCTGCTTTATGAAATGACAATAAATCCATCAGATACTTAATTAATCTTACTAGTACCTCATTATACCATATGGTGGTAAACTGTAGCTACCTTACAACTTTTATAGTCCCTGTCGTTTCTTAACAATAAATATTTTATAGTGCAGAAAATTCAAAGATTAACAGTATTATTTAACTATATAAATAGTATAAAACAGAATAAACTGAAACTTTGTAAAAAAAAAAAAACAAACAAAAAAAACTGAATACATGTACTGACATGTATTCAGTTTTTTTTGTTTGTTTTTTTTTTTACAAAGTTTCAGTATACTGTACATTCAATAAGGCTACATGTCTTGATGCCCAATTGCGATTTGCAGAATATATCCATTTTTATCTACATCTACATTTTATCTATATCTACATCCGATATCTGCATTTACACAACACTTAGTAAAACAACCAAGGTAGACTTTAGGGATGTTCATTTCGTCTTTTTCCTTAACCGAGGTCCGATAACCGATCATTAACCGGTAACTGGCAAGATGTTAAATTACAATTAAATTAAATTAATTTACAACGGACAAGTCTGAATCTGTGATCCATTAAAAATAACAAAATTTGTTGTCCAGGGGCAACATGCACAAATAGCAGCATAAACACAAAGTCAATGATTTTTTTTTTTTTTTTTAATGTTGATAATGGAATGCGAGTGAAGTACAAAGCCCATAATTTACACAAAAAATAATAGTTCAGCCGCAAATAATAGTTTATTTGTGCTCAATGAGCCCAATGCCGGTTTCTGTTTTAGTGTAGCCTTAAATTTATTTGTTTTTGCTTAATGTTAATATAGCTAGCTTACATTTATTTTGTCATTCTTGTTTCTGTTCTGAATATCTGTTGAATTTAAAAGATGTTGTTGTGGAGTGAGAGAAACTGAAATAGTCTAGTGTTTATGATTTCAATTTATTTACCTGTATACATTATTTCTGAATGTAATAGCCAAATAAAATGCGACTTGAGTTGACGTCATTCGCCACCGTGTCTTTTACGACCCACTTTGACAGGGGAATATCCGATCTGTCCACTTACATGGCAGACGAAAATCCATGTAATTAATTTATATCAGATTTATTTCAACAAATGAATGAGGCCTTAAACCAATCTGAGAATATCAGAATCCATGTATTTTTTTCTGCTTACACATTCGCCAGTCATATCCCATCTGAGCCACGTGAGAGGCAAAATCCATGTGGCCAATGGATTTTGTTTATGATATTTTATTTTGATGGACTCCTAAGAATAGACTGTTGTGCAATGATGACGTTTTAGTATCAATCTCTACTATTGAGTAAAATAGGTTCAATTACGAACAACAAATGTACACATTTTGGTGATTTCTTTAAATATAACCAAGAACAAACAGACCTGTTTTCTTGCGCAGTAACATGGGAAAAGTTCATCCTTTGGCTGCTCCAACAGCTCCATGCCATCTCTAACCTTGGGCTCAGTGACCTGGAGTTCAGAGTACTTCTAAAAACAAAAATACAGTGCTAGATGAGTGCAGAAATTTCATTGGTGTACACAATTACACTGGCAAGCACAGAGCAGCAAAGTTATATCATTTATTTCTCAATAAGATAAGTTAATAAGTTCAGTTACATAATTTGTGATTAATCCACCCAATCACACACCCTTTTTCGTTGTCCTGGTGAAGCACTACTATTTTTATTTTTACTTTTAAATTTTAATTAACTGCAACATCATCACACTAAACAAGCATCTTTATCTGCAGTACAAATCACATAAAATTCAAGTAGCCGCTGTGGTCTTGACCTCCAACACTTCCACACCTCAAACGCACACAGGTTTATTGCGGAGAAGTGCTTTGAGGACAGAACATGTGTTTAAAGATTAATGTTTGGGCCGATGGTTATGGAAAATCATAAAAAGTGATGAGGTTCATGGCCTCAGGGATACTTGTGCTCAATGACTACTGTGAGCTCTCAGGAAACTTGGGACTAGCTAAAAAAAAAATATTTAAACAAATATGATGGGAAAAAAAGGGGAAAATATTATATTTAGTGAGGTGAATTATATTTATTCTCGGTGTTAAAAAGATCAAATAATAATACATTTTATTTGTAATTTGCCTTTCTCAAGCTCAAAGTTCATATCAACATGTACAGAACAAAATAACAAATCAAACAATTCATAATTCACATCAAAAATACATAATGTATTAAAAGAAAAAGATGCACAACAAAATGACTTAAAAATAAATGATTAGATATAAATCGTAATGTCTTAATTATTATAATGACTACTAATTTTGTCCTTTGTTTTGAGAATGTTGATATACAGAGTAAAGAAACAAAACCACCAATTAGAGATTACTGATTTAGAATAATTTATTATTATTATTATTAAGAATTGTTTTTGTGGTTTATTTACTAGATATCAAGTTTCAGAACAATTCACAATTAGGAAATAATGGACAAAAATATACCCAACACTGAATATGTATAAAGTAAATACCCACAGCAGACCTAGACAGATTGAATCTTACAGAAACACGCTCATGAGTCTTTATTATATGATAAAGGAAAGTGCTTCTAGTCATATTACCATAGTCTTATCAACACATACAGTAAAATGACCACTTAATGTGTGTGCTATGCAGATGGCAAAATGTGCACTACAGTCTCTGACCTTTGTCTTTTGAGTCCTTGAGAACATGAAGATTGAAGATCAAGAGAGGATAAGATGTACACACTGATAAGTTCATAAAATCAAAATAATGTGAGCAGAAAAGAGGAGTTAAAAAACTACTTAAGACCTGAATAAATGAAAATAATGTACGCACATAAAGAACAAACTTACCCATTTTCAAAATACATTGTATTATATGTAATATTTAGACAGAACTCTGAATGGCTAATTGAAACATTTAATTAGCCTACTGTTAAGAAACAGAAAGTAGTGCAGATACTTTGGGTTAGAGGGTAACAGCTGCATAAGCACCATCTACTGTCAGAGAGTGAATGTGCATTTTTATTCAGTGTGTCTTCTTCGCTCATTCATAATTCTTATCCATGTTGGGCTTGCTTACTTTAGAGTGCGGATGCAAACGCAATGTTGTAAATTTTAACCAGCCTGATGTATTCTTAAAATTGAAATAATTAGAAATTCGCTTTCATTCCCAAAGTGCCTAATATAAATGCATTGGTATAATTTAAACGTCATAAACTGCTTTACTTCGTTGCTGTCATTAGTTGTTGCCAACCATCTCTGAAACGGGTCAGAGAGTTAAACTGAGAGTTAAATTAGCACTCATTTTGCACACTCTCTTCTCTCAAGCGACTAACCCTCCCTTACTCATCTCTGGTGAAGCGTGCACTGTGATGTACCATGTAAAAAAGACACTGTAAAGTTCCTTATGTAGTGCCTAGAAATAAAAAAAATATATTTTTAAGACTTTTAATGTCCCGAGCATACAACCAAGAGTCTGTATTGTAAGCGAAACAACCACCTTTCCGCTCTCGGTGTTAGTCATTGCCACAAAAGATACACCAGAGCACTGACCTGAAGAAAGGAAAAAAAAATTACCTGAAAGAGTTTGTAGTAGTAACAGAATATACTGTCACCCATTAGATGGGTTCGCGCAAACTGCTGACCTGCCAGGGCAATTTTCTTCGCCTATACGAGAAAAAAAAAAAAACAGAAATTGCAGATTGCAGGATTGTTTGTTCAGTTGAAAATTGCTACAATTAAGCAGTAGCACCTCATTGCAGTATACAAGATCCAGGGGGCGGAGTTGGATCCAGATCTAAGGGCGGAGTTGGATCCTTTTACCCGCATTTCACACTACTTAACACTAAATTAACATCGACATAACAAGCTGCATGAAAATCTTCTGCTTTAAAAACAGAAGATGAATAACTTCAACATTTGTAATTCAAACAGTTCTGTATGTATCACTATAGTGTTTCCAAGCCTCCGGCATTGGCTGCTGTAGTACCCATGACTGGTGGCTTGGTTCCCTCTTGCTTCACATCAGATGTTCAAGAAATTAACAAAACAGTTTGTTCAAATTCTGAAACAAAACTTTTACTGGTGATGCACTGTTGATTGACTGGGAGGAGGGCTTACCTTGGCTCATGTTAACGGCAAGAGAAGTGACCCAGGAGAGTATTGGGTTTAGCCCAAATGAACTCGTTTCTGGGCATACCGTTCATGGGCCATTAGATGTACTGCGAGATGGCAGGGACTACTGAACCACCGAAAAAGTTGACTGAGTATGTGGATGGTTTTAAAAAACTACTTTTTGAAGCAGTTAAAGTGGCAAAGGTGAACCTGAACAAGTGTGCTCCCAAAATGTTTAATACATTTTCTGTTCAAATGAGATGTTTGTGTGTGAATGGGGATGATGTACCTCCTCATCGTGGTCTCTAGCCCACTGGATCTTCTCCACTAGGTCACTGAGGTCAGCTTTAAAGGGGATGTAGTGCACCCATGGCTTGAGTTGCTTGTAAAAGTGCTCGTAATAGATGGAGTCGTGTTTTAACACCACACTGTCACCTGCAAGCAGATAAGGTAATCTGTATGCTGCGACCGTCCCGTCCACATTTATCTGGTACTTATACTGTTAAGAGAAACATAGTCACCTCAGTTAAAAAATAACACTACATAAAACATTTAAAAAAATGACTATGCTGTGTGTATTGAAGTTATATGCAATTATCGCACCTTAAAGAAGTCGAAAAAGGACACATGTTTGACGAGGGGACCATAAAGGCTCTCGTCATGTTTAAAAAAGAAGAAGTTGGTTAAAGCTGCATCGAGCATGGCAGGGTTCGCTCGTGCCAGTTTAACCAGCTCAAGACGCTCTTTCCTGCTGTCTCGCCCTCTCCAGAACGCTTTGCTCATCTTCTGCTTCCACGTTGGACCTGTGTGTCCTTGGACAGACATCATATCCAGGCTCACTCTGGCACAAAACAAAATGATCAAAAAAAAAAAATGTTTTTATATAATATAATTTATAATAATATAATATGTTATGTAATGATTCATGATTTCACTATTCATAATACTGAACTTTTCTATTATTTATTCCCCTCATCACATTTTTGTTGTAAAATTTGTGTAAAGGTTAGAACAGAAATTGCATCTTGTTTTCATGAACAGACACTAATTGTACCTAACATCTTATAAAATAATTCACTCATAATCCAACTTTGAGACCAGCAGTGAATATATTACCTTACTGCATTTTTCTCATTTTTTTCTATGTTCAAAATTTTCCTAAAACTCTTTATTCTGCATAAAAAAGTTTTATGTTGTTCCATAAAAGGTTTAAAAGAGTTACAATTCCGTTTTCTTTACCTGCCCATAGTCTCCAAAACAGACTCGGTGAGGTCATACGTTGGCATGACAATGTCTTGTGTCTCATTGGAGCCACACCATGAAAAAATTGGGCTGGGCATCTCAGAGGCCCGTCTCTTCTCCAGGGGCCAGTCCCCCAAATTCACAAAAAACTCAATGTCTGGAAGCTTGACCTGGTCACACACAACAGCATTTCAGACATTTAACTTATAACATACATAATATTAAAAAGTTTTGGGTCTGTAAGATTTTTTTGTTTTTGTTTTACATTTTACAATTTAATTATACATTTTATACCAACAAAAAAATAATAATACAGGTACTGCGTTAGATTAAACTGGGAAGGGTCATAGCACTTGCACATTGTTGTCCTATTGTTAGTTTAACTGCTTCTATTGTTCTCATTTGTAAGTTGCTTTGGATAAAAGTGTCTGCTAAATGAATAAATGTAAATTATACAATTTTAAATAACTGTTTTCTATTTTAGTAGAATACCTATTTTACTCTTTGGTGATAGTTTAAAATAATATTTTTATTTGATATATAATTCTATGATAACATTATAAATGTCTTTAACTTTTAATCAGTTGAATGTGTCCTTGCTGAATAAAAGTATGAATTTATTTTAAAAAAAAATTGATGTACCCCAAACCTTTGAATGGTACAGTGGGGTAGTGTATGAAAATATAAGTACTGAAAACTACATAAAAGTTTTTTTGTAATACGTGCAGATACTTAAATACTTGGCAAAACGTGCAAAAAAAAAAAAAAAAAAAAAAAAAAAAAAAATTGTGCATGCCTCCCACCGCTCTATGCTACAGTGCCATCTAATGGTTCTGAAAGTAAATGACTGAGAACATACATGAAGCGTTTATAAATAACATTATTATTTCGCATCATTTATGTGCATAAAATGTTTTAAGTTGCAGTATACTGAGCTAATACTCACTTTACGTGTGAAGGACAGAAGGAAGGCATCCATGAAGATCCTGAATCCAACATGTTCTCCATGTGTTTTTATATAAACCTACAGTAACAAAGCATAAAAAGGCACATGACATTATGAAACAAATTTCAAACTTTGGCATCTACTTGCTTCTTTATGTAGTTATATATATATAATGAGCACATTGCATGTGTACATGTGCATGTACCTGGTTGTTTTTGATGGTGTAGTGGCACAGGCTGTTTCTCTTCCCAAAACGCTGAAGGATCTCATGGGCATTACGATCTGGATCCACACTGGGAAAGACGGATAAATCACTCTCTATCTGAGAGAATGAGGCTGGACAGTGCATGTTCTTCTCCCATAATGCACCAATGGGCTCTGGGCAGTCACATGATTCATGATACACTGCACCTGGGTAGTGAAAAATAGGTTAGACATTGTTCATCTCTGTGTCATGAAAGTTGACTTGATTCTTCTCACCTCTAAGCACATAAGGTGATTTCCCCACCAGCTTGTCTTTCAACAGAATCTGAATGTGCAGATCAGTGTAACTGGCGTACATGCGGTACCGAACCAAAAAGGATCCATCATTCCGGTCTAAAATTTGGATCCAGATTCTGGCATACGGGTCTGTTGGAGATGTAATTTTCACTTCAAATGTTTTCTCTCCAGGAGAAGTCGTGAAACTAAAGATAAGGACATTCAAAATGTCAAAGACATTATTATTTGAGCCATGACAGAATTAAACTGATGCTTTAAAATGAATTCTTAAACAAAATGCCTTCACTGCCCTTGGTGAAAATCAAAGAAAGACCTGTCCTGGGAATTCACCAGGCATTTGCTCTTTCATTTATAACAGAACACAGTTTCTGCTACAATGCAGTCTAGAGACAAACATACAGTCATAAAAGACTGACATAGACTAATCAAGCACTATTAATTTGTCCTTTAGCAGATCTAGTCAAGCACTTGCAACACACAATTGCCCTACAGTAAATGGAAATAAAGACCTTTTAGCTAATGTTGCATTATAGGTTATTTAGACCTGCATATTAGTCTCTGGCTTCAAGTACCAAGATGGTTTATATTAGTTAAGCACTACTGAATAAGATGATCTAGGTGGAACTCTGAAGGTTCTACTACTGTATGATATAATTTTTGGTTCTAGTTGAAACTGAACAAATTTGAGCCTTCTTTTTTAGATTAGTGGAAAGAACACATTCAAAAGTGAAATGTTTATTTTATAACACTTTATGTATTTGAGTCTGTACAGTCCACATAAAGGCTGTTATCTCATGCACTGATCCAGAAATTGTCACTTCAGTAGCATTTAAATACACCAAACTTTCCCATCTAAATCTGAAATGGTTTTACATGGAAGTATGGTCATGTATCATTCGCCTGATTTATATAACGTTTTATTTCATAAAAACTTGTATTTACTGGAAAATTATGTTTTCTATCGGTTAAAAAAAATTCTTTCTGGCTATAAAAAATCCAGTGTGTAAAAACCCTTTAGCTGCAATGTCAACAAAATTAAATCTTGAACATGGCTTTATCCAGTTATCTGTTCAGGAAATGCAAAATCCATGCATATTTAATTAGACAATGTCCCATTTGGACATTTTTACCAACATTTCAGAAAACTAGTGATAGTTGTGTCGATGTCTTGTAATCAGCTTGGTAGGTGTGGTCACTCACATATGATATGATATTCCTTCCATTCACATGTAAGCTATCTTTCTTTGCCTAAAAAAATGGACGTGAAATCAAGCGTCGACGGGTTTTGAACTTACAACTTTAATTTTACAGTAGTCAGATGTTTAAGCACTAAGCCATGCCGCCCCATTATGGTCTTCTAGCAAGACTCACTCACTTTCGTCCGGTGGTGTCCACTGTCTGTATGAAGAAGAATCGAGCAGGAAGGACAATGTTTGCCTCTAGTCCAGGACCCCAGATCAAAGTTTTGCTCGCGCTGGGCACCGCTGCTGCCTTTGATCTCCGCGTCATGAAAACGATGCAAGGCATCAAGAGCAGCAAAAGTTTCCTCAACATGTCCATGGGGCGTGAGAGCACTTTCAGTAGTGGATGCTAGTGCATAACCTCATCAGAATGACAACCCTCTTAATAAAACATTGCTTAAAAACACTAATGATACATTTTGCCACACACTCACATTCACCGAAACACCAGCGGTGCGATGAGCAAACTAACCCACAGATACCCTCGCGAGAAAATCTCTGCAACATTCCCAATGCGCTCATGTGATTCGTCTTCTTCTTCTTCTTCTTCTTCTTCTTCTTCTTCTTCTTCTTCTTCTTCTTCTTCTTCTTCTATGGATTTATTGGCGGGTTGCATACCAACTTTATGGTGCATACCGCCACCACCTGTGCTGGAGTGTGAAGTGATTTCAGTCTAGAAGTATGTTAAAAGATGACTATATTCTAGTCCTAAGACCACTATTCTTTATGAATTTTAAAACTGACCTTACAATTTCCCTGGATCCTTGTTTTGTGTTCAATATGTTATTGATTGTAAAATTCTTTGCATCCCATTTCCTTTAGTTCACTTATTAAATCCTTTCTTTCCAGTTCATACCTGGAACAAAATAACAACACATGTTCAACTGTTTCCTTTACTTGGCATATTTCGCATAAACCAGTACCATGTTTCCCTATAATATGAAGTGTTGAATTAAGTTTTGTATGTCCCATCCTTAGTCTTGGTAAAATAACCTGATCTTCTCTCTTTAAATGTTGTGTCAATATACTTTGTCTTACAGTATTATGTAGATTATAAAAATGTCTTCCTGTTTTACATTCATTCCACTTTCTTTGCAATTTCTGGTTGCAGGCAGCTTTAATAATACTTTTCCCTTCCATCCTGCTTAATGCAACTGTAATGTTAAATTTAAGTGATTCTTTAGCCATTCTATCAGCTCTTTCGTTACCTGGAATATCTGCATGTGCTGGTACCCAAACAAATTTTATTATTGTTCCAGTTTGCCTTAATCGATTCAGTATTTCTAGATGTCATCTAACTGTTTGATATGTTTGTAGGCTTATAAGTGATGCCATTGAATCTGAACATATATCAACTCCATTTGGCATCACTTCTTCCACCCAACTAAGCGCCATCTGAATTGCCACCAATTCCGCTGTATACATAAGTCCCATCTGTTAATCTTCCATATTTCCCTATTTTAAATTCAGGAACATAAAATGATGATCCAGTACGACCTATCTCTGGGTTTCTTGATCCATACAGGAAGAAATGAGAAATAAACTGTTCTTAAATATTCAATTGTATAGCTCTTAATATCAAATTGTCCTTTTTTAACACTCTCATGAATTTGTAGATCAACTTCAGGTTGGGTAAACAACCAGGGGGATATTGGAGAAATGGTAGTCGTTGATGAAAATGATATATTATTTAGCGACATTTCTGTAGCCCATTCCTTTGCATTCCAAGCAAATCCTGTTCCTGTTAAATTTATAGTTTCCCAACTCCCCTCTTTTATTGTATTTGTAAAATGATCCTGTTTATGCCCAAGTAAATTGATCCAATAAGCAACAGATAATTTTTGGCGTCTTATTTCTAATGGGGGCTCTCCTGTTTCCACTTGCATTGCTGAGATAGATTCATGTGATTCGTCATTCGCACTTGCGTACGCTAATGACGCAACTTACTGGAAGCTGATTGGCTGTGTAATAGGAAGAGGAAAGACGTTGCGCTATTCGTTTTTTGTAGGCTACACAGCGGATCCGTCAGTCAATCACAAATTGTAATCTTATAACGCGTACACAAATGACCACGGTATTGTTACTATAGCAGCAAACCTGTGGTAAATTAGTATTATCCATCACAGCAATAAAAATACATATGTTTGAAGAAATGCCATCAACAATGACTTGTCACTAGGTCTACCATGGTAAAAAAATAAAGGCTCCTATTAGTTTTTTTCTGAAACTATGAAACTCTAAACACACAATGTGCAAAACATCAGACATCTGTTGTAAAAGCAAACACTTCATACACAACTATTTAACTCTTCCAAAAATGGTGTTTTTGCATAGTTACTCGACAAACAGTGTCGACTACGCAAATAACACCATTACAGCAGAATTAGAATGTGTTACTATTGTGAAGTTGCTGCAATACAATAGATAGGCTATTGTATCTTGTATACACAAACACACACACTAAATATGCATACAAGCCAAGTCAGAAAGTTATGTTTATTTATAAAGCCCTAACGCTCAAAATATTATTGTTTAGGGTCAACTTAAATGACACAAATTAGTTCAATCAAATTAACTTTTATGAGTATTTTAGAACTTTTTTTTTTCTTTTGAGTTCACAAAACTAACACATTTTAAGTAAGTTGAATAGTTCCGTTGTTTTGAGTTCTATGGGTTACCACCATCATGGTGACAAGTAGAGCATGAGCTTGGGTTGAGAACAGTGTATATTAAATGTAATAAATTGCAGTACTCATTCATCGAGAGCTATGCTAATGCTATGGTAGCATCAATTTTTTAAGTTAAGTAATTAATTGTTTAAATAAGCAGAACTTGCAGATTTTTAGTTTGTAATGATACATCTTAATTGTTCTTAATTGTTCTTAATTGTTAGTAGTAGAAACTTTTTTTAACCTTCAAAAAAAATGCTACCTTACTAATAATAGGTGACACATTTAGCTTGCTTAAACGTTAGTTTTGCAGACTTGGTCTGAAAATTTGGACTGTAAGATAGATAGACACATTTTTACAAGCCTATGTTTAAGTATTTTGCATATTCAAATACACATTTAGTTATTCTATGGTACTAGGCTTATTGGTTGACAACTTACTAGCCCATAATATAACAGAAACAAACCAGTCTTATGATGGTGTGTACATCAATAAATGTTTATTTCATTTTGATTTGCATCAACATTATTTCCATTTTATTTTCAATAACCTCTATAACACTACTAGAATATCAATAAGAACGAAAGGTGGCATTATCCATTTAAACAAGACCGACGTTGCTGCCTTCTCTGAAGGTATCAGAGGACCAGGTGTTGGGGTGGAGGAAACTACAGTTAGACCTACAGAACTTCAGTCAGAATATCAGACACGGTACCATCTTTAAACAGGTACGACATTCACAGAGGAATATCCAAATCACATAATTTAGTTCAATGACCATGTCGCTCTCCTCCAGGTTGAACTGTACATTTTCATATAAAACTGAGAACATACAAACAAAACACCCTGTCTGTGAGAGTCAGTTTTTACTTATTTCGACACTGAAGAGGAATCATTGGAGAATCAGTTGAAACAAATATAATGGTGAACATGAAATAAAACCAACCGGTTTCTTCAGCAGAGACCATCTTTACGTGATTTTGGCATCTTAAGAGTCTTGAGTGCCTTCTTGAGGCCAAATCTCCACACATGCAAGGTCTTCCTTCTTTAATCGTGAGCCATTATTTAAACGTAAAAGTAGTATAAAGGAAAAGGTAATATTGCGTAAGAGCCCAAGTTTGTCTAACGGTTGACGATGTGTATTCTCATGAGCCTTGAGTTTGTATTTCAATGCACAACATTTACGTTACTGAGTAGCAGCTTGTATATACAAAGCATACGTATATACGTATATACAGAGGCATGGACTATGGAAGATATGCTGAGATTGTTACAGTAAAGCACTAGAAGGTCAGAGGTCATCAGAGAACAATCATAGAAACACAACATGAGTCTCAAATACGATTCTGGAAGATGTTGCTTACATGTTACACTATAATTCACGCGCGAACCGCAGGGCGACTCGCTCGGTTTGATCTTTCCAGACACATATTTAAAAAACATAGTAGCGCCCACTGATCAGTCTAAACACCATTTCAACAGTCGAGTGACAACCAGAAGACACAAGCTAACAATCGTCTGACACTACAGTAGTAAGATAGAAAACATCGTTTTGACGTCATATTGAAAGGGAGAAAAAAATAAGAAAATGAACAAAAGTTGTCCCTTGTACTGGAATGTGAAATAAATCTCTCCACGATGCATTCAAACTTTGGCAGAGAAAACAGAGGTCATTCACTCGTTGTCCTCAGCGAGGTAAAAACAGACAACGCCCAATCTCAGGGCATGTTACACGTGCCCCGAGACAACCGAAAAGACTAGAAACTAATTAACAGGCCAGCTGAAATTGGTCTTTTAAAGTAAAACGTACATCATGACGAATTAGAAAACAAATCAAACCATTTTTATACTTTCACAGACACAGAGTTTGGCTGGCTTGTCTTATTAACATGTAAGAGCCCAGAATATCAACCACAGACAAATTAATTCATCGCTAGTTTACAGTTAAAGATACTTCACCCATCTAGAATATGGCACATTAAGAATTACATATGAGAAACACGCTCGAAAAGGACCTCACAGACACACTCGTCACGTGGAGCCAAATACATTTTACTACTCGCACTTCTAAAACCATGTCACGTCATACGTCTCTAGGAGAGGGTGAAGTACCTTTCGGAGACGGATTAAAAAGTTGGTAGTGGTGCTTTTTGCGAGCTAGCAGCAAAGAAAACGGAAAAAGTTTGCGTTTGTGACTGAACGTCGTGGGTGTGGCCAACTGAGTCGTCGGCGGCCTGATTTGCAGTACGAGAGTGGATAAATTGGTGTTGTATATGACAAGACAGTGGTAAATATTCTGAAAATATACATCGCTGAAAGAAACAGTATGGCGTCACCAAAAAAAAAAAAAAAAACTAAATATTTTGGCCTCATAGCAATGCAGGTATACATTTTTTGTTTATATATATATTTGTTTGCTATTTCAAAAAATATATTTTTTTTTTGTCAGAGTTTATATTATTGGCTTAGGTTATTAAATAAAAGTTTGTTATTCTTTTATTTCCCCATTTGTTTTAAAGTAACATGCTCCTTTTTAATATGGCAGTTTTACGTTTTTATAGGTCATCCATTTTGTTTCATGCACTCTTGTTGATTTCGTAACTTTACGAGTATCTACACGGCGTGAGCCAATTTGCTTCTTGTGAGTGAGGAGACCCCGATCAACCCCTGTACATACATGAAGATGACGTCTGATTTACAACACGAGTATGGAACCCCACTTACTCATAAACGGTAATGGTACAAGTCCATCATATCGTAATCTGGCCTTCGCCTTTTTAACCAATAAGAGTAAGACAATCCTGTACACAGACAGAAGAGAAGCTGAACAGCCCTTAAGTCTCTCGTTCCATCTGTCTCGCTCGCTCTCTCTCTTTTAAAGAGTGAAAGTCCAAGTACCAG